TGGAAGCAGGGTGAAAAGAATCGAGTGAACTTGTGAATTTGACTAGAAATTCGATCGCTTCAGTACCGATGATCGTGCAACATTTTTATGAAAACAATTGAATTTCACAAGTTACACAAATATTTTATAAAAACAATTAAAGAAGCGGAAATAGATTCTGTGTCATTTATTAAATATTATTTAATAAACGTCATTTATTTATTAAATGTCATTTATTAAATATTACTAGCAGTTTTACTTCTTTTACTTTAAACATTTTATATATATCTGCATCTTTAATTTCATAATTTAATAATTTAATATAAAGTTTAATATCTTCAATTTTTAATACAACTTTACAAAGATGATTAAAGAAGCAAAACCTAAATGTATTTGTGTCATTTACTAATTATAGTAATCTGCTTTAGATATTCTTCCACATTATTCCGTGGATTTTTTACACTCTTAAATATTTCAGAAATGCATGAACATTCGCGATACAGCGATCGTATATGTAATATTTAATTCATCGAGAAGACGACACGTGGCACCAGCCGTGGCAAGCCAAGATAAAAGCAACATCGTGCCCGTAGGCCATTCTCCAAAATTCTATTATTAAGATTTTCGCGATCGAGAGTTGAAGCTGGGTCCAACGCTTGCTTTGCGAAACGCGTTTCTATATTTTCCAACCCGACAATACTTACGTGTGAACGCGCGACAAAATTAGGTTTTGTTTTCGAACGACGACTTGCTTGGATTCTCTCAGTTAGTTCGAAAGATCGTTTGAATGAAAGACTATACGTTAACAGAGCTACTTCGAGAGAATTATTACTATTCTGGAGAAAAAGATTTTCTCTTGTTTCATGAATTCTAGAATTCATCGAATTCTTCTTTCGTTAAATAAACGACCGATCCTCCGTCATCGATTAATAAACTTTCGAACTCGAGTTGTTGATTGCGAAACGTTTGAAAAAGTTCACTCACCCTGTCGAGACAAGGTGGACGACAAAGTCCAAGTTCGAATATACTAACAACAGTGAAAATAGAGAACTACCAACATCCAGCAG